TTGTTAAACATCTGTTTTTTACTCTTCGTGCTTTTCACAAACAAATGACCGCAAAACGTGCTATGAAGAAGCTGCTTGGGGTTAGCAAAGTACATTTTTTTTTTTTAGAAATGATCGGTAAGACGAACTCAGATGGGGAGGTAATGACCCATCCTCGTGACCTATAAAACGGTTCATTATATTCCCCAAGCCTGAAAATAGATACAAACGCGAGAGGGTGGCGTCATATGGATACGCAATTAAATACAAGTGATACACTGTAAAAAAGGGTTGAAAAGTTTGAAAAATGTGTATAATTATCATAATTTTTTATGATACAGGGTCGACATCAGTGTCAAATGTGGCATACTTAATAGCTAAAAAATTCAATTACACAGTCCCAGGCATTCTATACTGAACGGTGTCATATTTTCACAAAATAAGACAAAACACTGCGGTTTTTGTTTTTAGATTTATAGTTTTGAAAAATAATGGCTTGTGTACTTGGTTGTTCATTTACTAGGGGTAATAGCTAGTATTAAATGAACATGGTGGCAGAGAGGTAGTTTACAAGTAACCTGAAAGGTTAATCAAAGATCATGAATAATAGACAACCCTATGTTGCTGGATCAAATGAAAGTGTATTATCTGCGAAAATAGGTAGCGTTAAAACCAGAAACAAACATTCATTATCAATAATTTAACAGAATGTGAGCGTTAGGTTGATTACAAATATTCGATACAAAAAGTAAATAAAACACATTCTCACTACACTAATAAGTTGTTATTTTGTGCATTATTATGTATGTTTTTCATTAAGTGAGTGAATCAGTGAAATTTCTAACATTCTAAGAAGTTTATCATTTTTTATGTAGGTGTGTTTTTCATCATCTACGCCTTCTGTCCAATTTTTGTGGTTGAGAGATGTGTTTCTTCCCTCAGATGAATCTCTCTGATAATTCTGTGAGGTCCATTTAATGCAGGGTATCCGACATCGATAAGTGTTTGACACTTTCATGGCTTGGTTAACAAAATGTGAAGACATGCACAGCAAACTTTACTTCATCATCTGCAAACTCTCTCTCTCTCTCTCTCTCTCATCATCATCATCATAGTCCAATCCATTTACCATTTAGATAACAAAGCGGAAGGATACAGAATATTTATAAAGAACACACACACGAGTAACTCAAATTGCATTTGCAATATCACCCAGCTTGTTGTACTACGCGTTTTCGTACAAAGGTTATATTTTAGTCGCATGACACCTGACAGAATGGAATGTTATATAAAATGAGGTTTTAAAACAATACCTTTTTAAAAATGTAACCATGTATTCACAACTTTATGTATCATATGAATATTAAAATTTGTTTTTGGTGATAGCCTTGGAGTGCAGTGAGGAAGAATTAGGTTACGGCAAATAACTTATGAATAATTCAAGAGGTTTGTTTTACTCTGCCTATGAATATTTTAAACTCCTACGAATTACATATTTCACTTATAATCCCTCCGCTTTAAGATTGAAGATGAAGGCTCAAGCAGTAACGCAGAGAGCAGATATCATTCCATCTGTTATTAGTAATACAGGACGCCGAAGTTTGTTAATTAGTTAATGAGGCTTATGGGTGTTGGGTGATATATTTAGAGTTCTTGTGTCCTTGACCTTAGGTAAAATTCGGTAGAAGGAGTTCCAAGTGTCCTAAGGCGTGCTGTCTGAGCTTCTAGAACAAAGAGGATATGTCAATATATTGTTTCTTGACTAACATATTTTCTTCCTTCTCGTGGCGGCCATGGACTGATGACAAGGGATGGTAAAGAAACACGCAAATCAGTGCATTTATTGGCTTCAGGTGCAGCTCCCGACAATGATTTAGATGATGAACAGATGAAAGAATCGATGAATGATGCACACACCCTGGAAAACTGACTTTGAACCAAGAAATGACCGATTATCTTTGGCGAGCGACACTGTTAATGAAATAGCATTGAGATGAACCTCGATTTACCCGTTCGTCTAAACGATAACAATTATGCATTTATGCATCTGTCATAAAGAAAGAAAATGAAGAAGAAAGGTGAATAGCATGTTCCAACATAACGCCATCAGCGCTCCACGTAAACGCCATGCTAAAATACAATCATTAAAAGTTAATTGACAAAATGCCCCTAGGGCCTGTGAGGCCTGACTAAGATCGACAATCATTCACTGCTATTGTTCGCTAATCATTTAAGCAGGTGACAATGATATTCCGCATATTAAACAATGTAACCAAGCCTGATTAATTGTTTTGTCTGATTCATGAACACTTATTTCACCTGACTTTGCAGATGATTCATATACGATCACAATCGTCAAATATTGATTAGAAATCTAAGTTCAAAGAAACAATCTTTTGCTACTTTAGCTTCATTCACTAATGTACTTTGGATGATTGGGTGCCGGGTATGATTATTAATTATGGCGACTTTCTGGTAACACTTTCGTTCTTTGATTCCTGGGGGGCCTGTTCCTCCAAATTGACACGCGACCTAGTAAAACGCCATAATTTATGCAGATTTTGGAGATGAGAAACATTTGTTTGATCTTTTCTGAATCCTCTAGCAATTTCCTGTTCTAAAGGTACAGCCAAGAAAGGGGGAATAATAATTTTCACCGATTTCAGAAAAAATAAGCCATTTAAGGGATTTACAAAGGGTTATATCCATATGCGAAGTTACACTGTGTATGAATTGCTAAAGAGTATTTATGCTGTTTCACACAGTTTGTAACCGAATTCAGACACAGAAATAAATGACTAAATTGCTGTCTAGGATTGAGGTGCAGTTTTACAATGTTCATGCATTTAGAATGCCTTATCACAGTCATATCTCGTCATCTGACATAGACAATAATTCTACTTCTGACAAAAATAACACAAAAACTGCCTAGTTGTACTTTTTCTCAATGTCACGTCTCTAGCCTTGTATACACGACGATAGAGAGAGAGAGTTGATGATAATGATAATTTTGAAATTCAATTCAGAACAATTCTTAAACTTTTTAAAAATTGAATTTATACGAAGTGAGTAAAACATGTTTTTTTCCCACAATAATAAGGGATTGAAAGATTTATGAAAATATTCTGAGATGTTATCGGATTTTATGCGGGGCGTAAGCTAAGCACTAAAGATTTAAATAACTTAAATACCAACAGTATTCTCAATTGTCATGGTAACAAACTACTGTAATATATCTATGTAATTCATGCTACATTGAAACCATGAAATTACTCCCAGCACTGAACAATGTAGATAATACACTACTGGGCTCCATTCAGTCCACAAAGTAGGTCAGAGAAATGATATCCCCATTTTGATGAGGAATTCAGTATCGTCAAATGTCACGCATCAATTTTCTACTGAGTGTCGAATTGTCAGAGCGTGTACATTTTCTATTTAATTGAGGATTCGGTAGATTATTAAAGGCAAATAACAATGGGCGTGGTTAGAGCGAGTTTTCAACAGGAGTCCACTTTGAACTATGCAAGGAATCTAGGTCAAAAGTCATGGCAAAGCGCACCTTCTGTTTCGACGTTTGCAAACAGCGCCAATTTCTCTTCTTCAAAGTCGTCTCTTTTGCTCCTATATCGCTAAACATATATCAAACACTATCAACAGTTCAATGTTTCTAACAAATTAGCCCCTGAAGAGTTAATGTTGGGTCGCATCAGAAGAAAATGTGAGAATGCTAGTTATAAATTGCTGATGCGCCACAGGTGGTAGCACGGTGGTTCTATAAGGAGTGATCTCATCAAAGAACAAACCGCGAAAAACGACAGTAAGATTAAATGGGAGCGACAAACCGATACAGACCCAGTATTGACAAGGGACCTTATTTGGAATAGAGTTCATCTTTTTTTTGTTCCAGAATGTTATGTACGAACAGCTTTACTGTCCCTTGTATCCCTTTGTTTTGTTTTGAACCTGTTTTATTGTATAATAGATACAAAGGGGTTGGATATAAGTTCTTGCAACTTTAGAAATCCTCTCCCTTTATTCCAAGTTCTGAACAAGTAATTGAAACGCAAGTTCGCTTTTTTATACAGAAATTTCATTTCTTGCCATATACGCATGTAATTTGTTTGTATTGAAGAATTTTTCCCTAATAAAACCTCCAAGGAGTTCTTTCATAATTAATTATGAGCTCCTGTTATTGGCAATTTTATTTCTTCAGGTGACACCTATAAATTAACAATTTTCTGGTGGTCAGTATGTACGGTCTCTAACCACAGGGCATAGCGAGGCCCAGAGAAGCGTGTCAAAGACCACATGAACTAAAACCAGCTATATAATTTATTACCCGAATCCCATAGGGTGTATTGTAACTTGTCACCAAATCTGTAAAATTTACGATTGATTTACATCTGTCTATCATTGCTTGATTTCTGATACGACACATGAAAAAAAAGTTAGACACCAAAAACTAAGGAAAATCTCGGCACCTGTAAAGGCCAAAAAAAAATTAAATTCCATGCATATTTACGCATGACATGTCTCGTAAATTACTACAAAACGTAGACGGGACGAAACAGGTCATTAATGAATGAACTCCAAAAAAATGTGACAGGTATTCTACAGGATAAACCCAAAGAATGGTTAAAACGTAGGGTTCGTTATCTTCTATTGACAAGACCAGGATAAAGCTTAATCACAAATCTACAAATCTTATCAGCCTGATTTAGCCAACTATTAAACTGTCTTGTCAAAAGCTTTATTAAGTATTATTAAGTATTTTTATAAACGGTAGTGGGAGACCTATCGAAGCGTAAAGTTCAAGTTGAAAAAAAAAATATGTATGTACATCCACAAGGTACCTTTTAAGTCTAAAATGGTGGAAAAAGAGAGATTGTGCACTTAAATCAATGCCTTGTCATTTTATTCTTTAAAAAAAAAATGCAAGAACATAAACCTTTTTAACTTGTAACTTTTACATTTTTTTTTAACTTTTATTTATCTATGTCATAGTATATGCAACTTACCAAATCCATAAATTGTCACATCTTTTGTCATGTCACCACCCTTGTAGATGCACTCAGCTTCGAATTGAAGAGTTTGTGCTCCCTGAATTCCGGGAAAATATTTACTGTCTCCATCATTAACTTTGATTATTTTGCCAGATAAAACAACATCCGATTTTACCACTTTATATGCAACATCTCGTTTCACGTACTTACACAAAGCGTCAGATAAATAAATAAAATCCAATATACACAGTATACAAAACATATATCCGTATATTCCAGCCATAATGACACGTGGAATTAATTAATTTTATAAAAAGTTAGAAAAAGCACAAACAGCTCTGCAAGTTAGAAGTCGTCTGCTGTCTACCGTTGATCGCGTGCTGTCCCAGCGAAAATCCGAAGACAACACTAGTGCGCCAGCCCCTCTCTCTCTCTCTCTCTTCTGCTGCGCTCTGTTTGTTGGTTGGTTTCACTGAATTGTATGTGTCGTACCCACACACAATAGACAGACACGTGTATGCAGATACGTACGTGCAGTGGAAATGAACACACAACAACTTGTCACAAACAGCAAGCATTAAAAAATCGCCTAAATTAAAACCCACTCTAAAGTTCATCTATATATGTCACCGATAAGAACAACAACAATATGTTCCCTGCGACAACAACAGTAATTATTGCCTCAGCACCTTCTCCGTACGGGAACCACGCCCCCTAAACTCGTTATTTGTACTAATTAGATCACCAAAGGCCAGATGTCCAACTGTGCACTGGAAACCAATTTAAAGAGTCCACGATTCAAAATAATTGTCGGTCCCCCTTTTATTTGTCGCACTATTAAGTGATAGTATAAATCTACTTTCAGCGTATTATCTTCAGTAGAAAGGCAGTGAGGTATGCCTGATAATTCAAAGATATGACGTAATGATTCCCTCCGACCTAAACAGGTGTATATATAACACACACAAACAAAAAATTGAAATTGGAATAACGAGTGGCTTTTTTGTTTCGCGGATGGAGGAAAAAATCCCTTTTATGTGCGACAGATGTCTCCGGAGTGTGGCGTCGTCTGTCCCTGAGCAGTTTTTTTTCTTCATTCAACTGAATATTCAGATGTATTAATAAACTCTAACATCCAACCACAAGGAATATTGATCTGAATGAAGCACAGATTCATTCGATTATAAGTTGCCATTGATCGACCAGAATCTTCTCAACCGAATAAAAAAAAATCTTCAAATTTTTATCATTATTGATCTTGTTTGTATTTTTTTCTTATTTAATTTTGTTTTGTCCTGATTTGCACACTATATGTGCAGGTGATAGGAATCAAAACATGAAAGGTTACAAGCTGTGCAAGAGAAAGTACAAACTGCACAAGAGAAGGTTACAAACTGCACAAAAGAAAACATCTGCAACATATTTTGGAAATTATTTGTTATAATTTGATTTGTTCACTACAAAGTATCACTCAAAATATTGAATTTAATTCAAAGTCGAAGAGTCACACGGTCTACATGTACCAAAAATCATATAATTTTTTTCCAAATGTGGACCTCTAATTAAAACTTTTGAAAATCCTCCAATATTTCTTGGTCAAAGAAAATGCGTATATCTTTAAGGACCTTTTTTTGCACAGGGAAGTATTCAGCATATCTCCTTGCAGTGTTATGATAAGTAAGGGGATTCACTTATCTATTTTATCGAAATTGCCACTAGTTTCAACATAGTCAGGGAAGTAGTGAGTAAATACAAAGGGACTAAAATTGAGAATTCACTCTTAACGAGAGCCGTACAGAATGACACAGTGTAGGAATAATAAAGGGCTGTCTTGTTGTAGTCACTTTGCATATAGATTACATGTAGAAACATCCTAATACATGTAACATGGTAAATAATATTGTAGAACTTGCCACAAAATCTCAGAAAAACCGATTTAGTACATAAAACGCTTTCAAGAAAAAAAATAAAGTCAAGTAATTACTGATTTTAACTAATATGTATTTTGTGCGATTGAAAAACAAAACTTGGATTATCTACAAGTATACATTATGTACGCTGACATTGAGTAGTTCATGGCGCGGTAACGTGTTGGTATTACAAGGTTTCTATGATAGGAAACGCGTGGTCTTATTACCAGAAGGAGTGAAATGATTGATTTATTAGTGTTAACCTGTTAGTGGATTACGACATTTCTATTCCCCATATAGTACTATTGAAAATTGTTAATTGAATACGAGTGTCGTTTAACATGTCACCAAGCCATGGGCAATCGCCATCGTGCATGATCGGAAGTTAAGGGTAATCGACTGTTTCATTTTATATTACTTTTTTCACATTTTGAGGCACATTTATTGAATTTGACAATTTGCAATATTTTTAAAAATATAAAGTCAAAATTATGAAGTATGTTGAGCGTATCTGCATAAATAATAGTAAGAGACAAGAGGTCTCTCTCCCACAGTTTTGAATAATATTTAAAGTCATTCGCTCGTCAGGAAAATTCATTATAAATTTAACAGTGTCGAAATATTTGTCACAAACATTTTCATTCCTGTTTGTCATTTTCTTCCCAGTCATGTATCATTATTCGTAAATACGGCTTTATAATGAAGAGTAGCCTCGAGTGCTTATTCTCCAATCAGATTTGTTGACATAACTGTCACATGACCGTAAAAGACAGCGAGGACTTTTACAAACCGTGAATCCCTACTGTAAACACTACAAGTATCCGAATAAGTTACAGTAATAACATTTTATTACTCTAACAACTGATATTAAGGGGGCCCTTGTTACGACATAAGTATATCTGCATTAACGCACGGTGTCAATATCGATCAAGCAACTGGTAAACAGAAATACCAACCGGGTCAAACTAATTAACCAAATAGATACTACAAATACCACTTCTTGACTAACAGTATAGGAAAACATCCCGAGTGTCGTTTTACTACCTGCTTATGAGCAAATATGCTCATGTTCTATCTCAAAGAAGCGTTTATAACCTGCCGAGGGTAATGAAAAATCATTGGAAACTGAAGTCATCTGTATAGGTGGTTTGTCAGCGAAATAAATAGTTTACCTCACGCTAAGAGCAGGCTATGTGTAGTGTACATGTACAGGATGCTAGTGTCACAAGAGAGTTCGATGAGTTTTGTAGTTAACATTATATATACTAATAAAAACATGCTTTAAGTGAATCAATTCAATAAACGATATATCAGCAAGAACCCCGAACAACCAATAGTAGACTAGTATCAAAGTCAATGTCAACTTATTTTCAGAGTTAGGGATAAGAATGCCTAAATTGTTGCTTAAAAGAGAACTTACACCGTGTTGCTCTACTGTATTTTTCTTTTTGTATGCTTAAATCTACGTAATTATGCACCTGTGTACCAATTTCAATACGTCTTTACAATTTTTTGACCAACTGCTGTTCCGCTTTCAATACAACGATTTATATTAATTTTTAAACTGGACACAATATGACCGACAACTAGATTGATTGCATCCTCACAGCGTCAGGGGTCCTGAATCAACACGTTGCCGTTGGACGGCAACGTATTGACTCAGGACCCCTGACGTTGTGAGGATGGATTGATTGATTGTTTGTTGTTTTGGGTCCTTTGCGAGAATTCTCACTCATATGAGACGTCGCTATGTACCGGCGAAAGGCTTCTTTAGACCCCAGGGCCATCGAACACGGTACTATAGTATCTCCCGATCATGAAGAGAGCGCCCTACCACTAGACCAGACCGGTCACACAACTAAACACCAAGTATCTATAAAACAGCAAATATACATAAAATGTGTTGTTGTTGTCGTAATAAAAAACTAAAAAAGAATTTTGAGAGAAAACTTGCAAACAGTGAGTGCATTTTAAGTAGTACTATTTTCCAAATCGCTCTATTTTAATGAAATATTTTCGATTGATTGACGTTTTCTTTGGCTGCCGTGCTGCAAAGCCATTTCCTTTTTATTTCTTTTCCGTCACAGAAATAGAATCTGCCATATAGAAGTAATTGGAATTAATTTTCCCCCTTTTAACGCAAGAAATAGAAAGAGATCTTTGAAACTTCACGGAGCAATTATTTTGATAAAATCAATATCAATGGTCATATTATTCTATAAAGCCGTCAGAACACACCGAGTTTAGCCGCCATTGCAGGTTCTAATCTGATGACAATCTGGCCGTTTTGTTTGGGATCATATTTAATATGTGAAACAATTTACCACGTCGATAATTTGTGAACAACTGCTGCTACCAATATTCTCAATTCATCCAAAATGAAATTGAACAGATTAGAAATGAAGATTCCAATGTTTTCTTTGAAGCACGTATCTAATATTGAAGTTATAGCCAGTTATAGTTAAAGAGTGTATTTTGTCTTTAATGATTTGGAAAAATACGTATAATCAATGCTGAATAACATTTTACACAGATAATTGGGAACAGAAGGCACGTTCCTAACTGTCCAACAACAGTGAATCAGTGACACTGAAAGGAAAGAAAAAAATTATGTTAGACTTTGCTTCGCATTTAACCATTTCATGACTAGATAATACCAGAATGCTGTGTAGGATTAGAACGCGCAATGAGTTAGGGAACCTAAGATGATCCGGGCAGTAATACGACATATGGTCATTCAACAAACAATCATTTGAGTACAGCCCATGGGTCATTCATTCCTTATGACCTTTAGAACGAAACAAGAAGTTATCTCTTATGAAAACAAGGGCGCATATTTTGTTAAGGATTGATGTACCTTACTTGTAAAAGACAGAATACATTATATTAACAATGCGGAACAAGTATTCCCGGATTTTCAGACATGTTTCTGCTTCGCCAGAATTACAAATCACACCTGGCTTCAAAGTCTGCTATGGCGTTTTCTTCTGACTAAAAATTCCTTTTCCCAGCGGGAACACAAAGTTGACTCCCATATCATAGCCTTGTAACTTTTCAGATGCTACTATTTTGTCTAACCGGGCGTATTAATTTCGAGCAATATGTTGCTAAAAATAGAGACCATTATTCTTTTTCTTTTTTCTTTTTTTTTTTTTTTTTTTTTTTTTGCGTACGCTATATGTTGGACTAGTTAGGAATCTTAAGCAACATGGAATGTCCCGTTACGAATTGTACATATGCTTCAGAGTTTAATTATTCACCAGTTTTCTTTGCAGCAGAGATTTGGGAATTGTGACTCAGTTTTAGTCCGTGTTCTTCTATTACAAATGAATAAGTTGTAAATTATACGAGCGTATATTTAAATAGATATCTATTTATCAGCTGCCAATATATAGCTCGAAAGTTGTAGAAACAAACAACCTTGAAGATCATTAATGTCGTTCTATTTTTGTTTTTCTCTTAATCAGGATTTGTCAAATACAGCTACAAATGTATAAAACGTGGTTATCGTTGCTGTATCAGGGTCTTTAACCGGAATACGTGTTTATTTTATGGACACT